AAGGTTCATGAACTCATTTTGGATGTATGCATGCCCATGTGGATCACTTTTTGTACCAGTTTTATTGTCTTCTTTCTATCTCATTTTCTAGCCTTAGATATTTGATCCTTAGGTGTAGATTTCTTTCTGTTGTTTATAAGAATAGTTTTTGGACAATCTAGGTTTAACAATATAAATATTGATATCATTACAGTTGTTGCCTTGGATCTCGGTTTTCTTATTTATCTCAATCTATGAAAGCTTATTATCATGGCATATTTTATTTTTTGTTTCCTTGTTTCTCATTTCAGATATGAGGCCCCTCTTCTTTACTGTTAGCCTTTGTCTTCATTATTCTTAAGCTGCAAATGGAAAGTTCCAACTAAGATTCCTCGAGCTCTGGGGTCACCTCACTCGTTATTCAACCACAAGTACAGCTGGTTACCATAAAGTTGAATGATAACAACTATTTAATGTGGAAACATCAAGTTCTGCCACACCAAGAGGATATGGTCTTGAAGGCTTCATATTGGGCATCTCCATACCACCTGAAAAGTTCATCGCAGAATAAAATGGTAACCAATCTATCAACCCTCTTTATCTCAGTTGGCAAAAGCAAGACCAACTCTTGGTCTCCTAGTTCCTTAGCTCTCTTACTGAAGAGATCTAGATAAATACTGGTGGATAGACTGTAATACCCTGTTTTATTGTGGATTGTTTGAGTGCAATTATTGATTATTTCTAATATTAGTTGTCTTTATTATCATTATTAGTAATATTATCATTATTATTATCATTATTATTATTATTGTAATTAAATGCCTAAAATGCCAATTTGCTATTATTTGTTGTTATTAGTAATAGTACTATTATTAATATTAATTGTCCAAATGTTATATTATAATTAAATAAATTATATGTATTATATATGTATATATTAATGTCCCGTTTTATGTTATTATCGTTCGATTGTTATTGAGTCTCGTCCATTTAATTATGAACCGCCCCAAGCCCCGAACCGGTGCCTCGATCCGACTCGCTCTTTGCTTGGTTGGGAAGCTAATTAGCTAAATCTAATACTATAAAAGGGAGATATTTCTCCCCTCAGCTCGTAAAAAAACTATCGCAGACCCTAAATTACTCTCTCCTCTCCATCGAGCTGCTATCTCTCTCCCTACCCTTTGTTCGTCGCTCAACAAACAAAAAAAAAAGAGAAAAGAAGATGTTCCCAGCAGAACCGCGATCGCTCATCATCATCGTTTCCTCACCATCATCAACCACCATCACGTGATCATCTCCATTGTCCGGCGCAGCAGACCACCACCGTCGCGAGCAGTTCACCTCCCCGGCGAAACCCTGCACTTTCTGGCGAGTTCTTCCACTGTAAACCAGTCTGGCAAGCCCTCCTCCACCGCGAACAGCCACCCCATCGCGACCCTCCTCCGGTGATTTCTTGTTCGCGCAGCAGCAACACCTGGCCGATGTAACGCCCCAAAGATTTTTAAAGACAATTCCGGACTAACGCCCCAAAGATTTTTAAAGACAATTCCGGACTTATCCAAAAAAAAAACCTGTTTAAAATTTTCGAAACCATTTATCTATTTACAAAAACATTTGGCACTACTCGACAACATTTCAAAGTTTAGCACATAATCAGCATAAAGGAAATGAGAATAACCAACATAATTCAAGTTTCAAGACTAGATTTTAACATATCTAGCAATATGATTGTCAACATAATCCAAACTGATAAAAATAACCCACATGGTTCAAACAGTTCAACTAATCCCAAAAGCAATAGGGATATAAAACAATGAGTGATAATCTCAACATAAATATCAAAGCATGCGGAAGCAATAAAAAACAATAATAATGTTTGACCATCCACTCGTCTTAAGTCTCGTCATGCCCGAAACGTGCTTAACCTACATCCATGAAGAGCAGGTGGGAGTGAGCACAAATATAATCGATGTGCTCACCACTATGCATATAATATTGATATGATTTCCTATGCTAGAGTCATATGCATGTTCATAGTCATTCGACATAACACACCACACTCCTAATCATAACTATACTCATGTGCACACCTATCATAAGCCGCCAGGAATAAGCCCAAACTCGTCAGCGGGAGTACAGTCGTTCGAGGTTCAACATCAACAGTCACGGCCCATCGACTAGGCTAAAATGAGTCTACCTATCACAAGGTTGGAGTTCGCCTTCCACTAGGCACCGTCTCATGACTCACATACAATCATAGAACACAATATAGAAATCTTACCTCAATTACGATATAGCAATTTCTAAATAAAACCCACCTGGATACCGAGATATAGCCAAACACAGAGTTGAGGGAAATAAGTAGGTCGAGAACACAGCTCGTCAAAACCTACATTATACAAAATAGTCATATAAAATACTATCCCACACACGAACAATTATAACTACACTCATGCGATATTACTCAACCACATAGTTCATAATAGCATGTTTGCACAACGAACTCGCATAGTTTCAATATTTCCAAGGTAACATGAGCTACAAGCATGCTATTCAGGTGACTCCAAAACTAATGAGCAGCTAACACATATATCCACAACTTTCATGTTGATCACTTAAACCAATTATAGCTTTACAGTCGAGTATAAGCGTAAAACACTTAAGTCAAGCAATCTGCAAACATAACTATTTGACAAATTACAGCACCTCACTAAAACAACAATATCTCAAGTTATAAAACTCCAAATCATTCAAACTCAGAAACCTACAGAAACTACACTTGAAATGCTACAAGTTTTAAGAAGAGCATTTTTAAAAATAGACACGTTAAAGGCCTCATTTCAGAGCATACACAATGAGCAATATCACAGCCACTGTTTTAAAATTCTGGGCATAACCCCAACTTTGAAAAATCATCATCCAAAGCTCCAATTTGCATGATTTCAACTTCCAGTGAAAGTTTATAATGTACTACAATTTTTAGGATGATCACATTTTCACATAGCCACATTAGGATCACCGAAAACAGCCCGACATCTTAATTCACAAATCTGCCCGGTATTACAAAAATTGCATGCATGTATAACTTAAAAAAATCATAATAAATTCAAACCAACTCCAAATTCCTAAATTCCAAAACCCTTTGAATCCTAACTCAAAATACTACAATTCTCATGATAAACACTTAACTAGGAAACAACTACTCGGTTACGAAAAACTGAGCATAAACAGCGGTTATAGCTTGAAATTTTTAATCAATTTTCAACTCGAAACATGCATTCATGAACATTTTGAGGAACTGAGGCATTGGAGATGGTTACCTGGTGAGGCAGGTAAGGAACGATGGAAGGAGGTGCAGTGCAACACGAAAAACAGTCTGTTGGCAGACTCTTTGAATCAGAGGAGTGGACTTAGGTTGGACTGTAGTGAGGTGACTTTGGACATCTTTATTAGTTGTAGTTTGTTTTCTTCTTGTGTGTTTGTACTGGTTTAGTATATTTATTATTGTGGTGTCTATTTGGGAGTTGAGGTTGTTTCTTTTGCTCGTTTACCAACTAATGTGGCTGGTATTAGTTGTTATGAGTTGATTACTTCGGTGTACATTGCAATTTGAGTTTAATATGTGCTTTATCGTTTTGGAAAAATCAAAAACACAAAAAAAATAATAAATAAAAAAAAAATAAATAAAAATAACCAAGATAATTATTTAATGGACATTTAATGTTTACCTAATGTGGTCTCTCTCTCTCTCTCATGATTGATTCAAATCACGGTCCCCACTCCGGTACTGGACAATCTTTCAAACCTCCACGCCAAAAACGGAAAAGAAAAAAAACGAAGTTAATAATTTAAAGGACAAATATCAGTACATCACTTCCTAAATTGTATCGTGCAGCTTATCGGTAAAATTTTAGAGGTGAAGGGATTACTAGTGAAACGCAAAGGCACTCTTCCGAAAAGGTTAATTTTCTTCCTAGAATATTTCTTATTGAGTTTTGCAATACACATTGTAGAAGATGTTTGCCTGTTATGGCGAAGATAGGAATAGTGTCCGTCCAACAACTTATTCGCAACTTCCTTGAAACAATAATATGGCGACAGCCAGTTTGGTGTGGCAGTTGTGGCCATAACGATTTTTTTTTTTTTTTTTTTTTTTATAATAATCAAATTGAATTCTGTTCGGAAATCGAGACGGCATGATTCATGATTTCGAATGTTGACGCCAACCTCATTTTTTGGCCCATTAAGGATGATTATTGTTGTTGTCGTACACGAACTAATGATTTCACTGAAGTAGCTGGACGATGATTGTGGAAAGTTTGTCTTAATACCTATATTTGGATGTTATAAAGGTGGTGAGAAATCCTTCAAATGCTGGAGGAGATATGGTCTCTGTAGAAGCTTAGGTATCATTACAATTGGTG